GTGTGTAGTAGTTCCGTGCGCCTTTTTAAAAGTTCCATTGTGTCTTTTGAGAAGATATTGTGTTGGTGGGGATACATATTGGTTTTGTATTTTAAGCTCTCTGTTATGCCTTTTTCCAGGATATTGTAGTATGTTTGAATATCAATGCTGTCTGTTTTTATATTTTCTGTATGTTTTTGTAGATTTCCGATGTAGCACTTTATTTCTGTTTCTGTCTTGGGGATATTAGCTGGTGTTGTATAGGTTTTTCTGCTCTTTACTGGGCTACTCAAAAGTAATGTTGCTCTCACTAATCTATGATCGGAAGAGAATTCAACTTTGTTAAGTACCTCAATATTAGTTATAAGTTTGTTGTGGGTTATCATAATAAAATCTATTTCATTTTTAGTTTTGTGGTCGGGTGATAACCATGTCCATCTAGAGCTTGCTTTCTTTTTGAAAAATGAGTTCATTATGGATAGTTTGTATTGATGAGCATAAATTAAGAGCCGTTCCCCTCTATCATTCCGCACTCCGTACCCATATTTTCCCATTACTGGATAGTAGTTTGTTTTTGGACATCCTATTTTCGCGTTGAAATCTCCCATGACAATGACCTTCCCTTCTGTCTTTGTGTGAGCAAATTCAATGTCTTTGTAAAAATTTTCAATTTCTTCTTCTGTTGATCTCTCTGTCGGTGCATATGCTTGGATTATTGAAAAGAGAAGCAATCAAACTTCATTTGTAGAAGTGCTACTCTTTCAGAGATTCCTATAAAGTTGATGATGTTATTTTTATACATTTTCTTGATAAGGAATCCCACTCCATATAGTCCTTTAGTTTCGCCAATATAGCAAAATATAAGGTCGCTGTGCTCTTCTATCTTACATCCCATTTTTCGGACTTCTGCAAGGCCTATAATGTCCCAGTTAATATTTTTTAGAGCATTAGTCAATTCAAGGAATCGTTCTATTGATCCTAGCGATTTTACATTATAATTGCAGATTTTGAGTGTTCGTTTCATACCATGATCTATTTCTCTATTTGGTGGAGGGTTGTAGTCTGATTCCCCACGATGACAAGTCGGATTGGGGAATGTTTTGTTTCTTTTATCTATTAGTTCTCGTCTGTTTAATGTTTTGTTCCGGTGGCTGATGGCAATATCCTATAGATTCTGAACGGTTGGCACATTGGCAGAAGGTAAGGAATTACTTCTATTCCTCATTATGTCGAATGCATTTAACCGAGCTGCTTTTGTTGACAGTTGTTGTTTGTGAGGGTGCTCTATTGCGTTAGGCGAGGTTGATGTTTCCCTTTTGCGTTTTTCGTTACCTGGTTTGCCCTGTTTAATAATTAGCTTGTCGTAGTTTATGTATGCATAATTGCCCTTCTTCCTTTCCTCTTCCAATTTTGGTTGTAGTTTCCTTCTCATGTCCAATATTTCTTTCGGGTAGTCTTCAGATAAATACAAGTTTTTCAATTTCTTTTTATTTACCACTATCTCGTTTTTCTTCCAGGCGTTCACGAATGTTAGGAGGATAGGCCTTTCTTTTCCGTTTTTTGTGTTATTTTTGCCAATTCTATAGATCGTGTTCACATCCCTATCTTCAAAAGTAATGTTTAAATCATGTTCAAATTTCTTTTTGATTATTTCGATTAGGTCGATAGTCGATGTTTCGGTTTCTTTTACTCCATATAAAATTAGGTTGTTGTATCTTCTAAATTTTTCAAGATTGTTTATTTTTTCCTTTAATTTCTCATTTTCTGATTTTAATTCCTGCATTTCAAGTCTAAAAGGAACTAGTTTTTCATCAATCCGTGCCATAATGTCATCGGTTTGTTTTGACATTTCTATTTTCATTTGTTCAAAAAAAGATTGAAGGTTATCCATTTTTGCCGCTGTCGCTTACGTGAAATGAAACGTATTATTGTGAACGCAGCTTAATAGGACTATTATGTTGGTAGTACTGACCCGCCTTAGTTTTGTTGAAATTGTGTCTATAGTCTATACTCGGTTTGTTTGGCAGGTAGCCTCAAAAGTTTTTTCCACTTTTTAACCACTGAACAATTATCTTGATAACACAGTTTGCACTTGGATGTTTTAGTTGCAGTATAGTTTATCACAATATGTATGAAATTTAAATGTTTTTACACCGGAGTTCACAGTATATTCACAGTTTATTCGTAGAAATACGGAGCTTCGTTACACTATGTATTTACGTCTAGACAGTCGGAGCCGGAACTATCATCAACTATCATCGAATAGAATATAAAACACAATAAAAATTTAAAAAAAAAAAAAAAAAAAAAAGAAAGTACACTACAACTTAAACAAGAAGAAGTAACTAGATTTGATCTTGGATCCGTTGATAAAGCGTCGTCGTCGTACTGAGGCGGCCAGCTACTGGTTTGACGAAGTGGTTGAATTTCTTCTATATATATTTTGGTTTGGTAGTGACTTTTAATGTGATGACTAATAATTATAAATGTTATTAGTCACGTATGCACTTTCACTGTGAGATATATTAATTAACGTTCCACTCCACAATAAATAGTAGCTTTTGACTCCTTTTTTGCACTCAACATCACATGTCATAAAAAATGTTAATATTTGCAGGTTGGTCCGTGCTGAGTCACTTCTTCAATGCGTCGCAGCTAATTTTGTTATTTCAAGCATTTGTTCGAAGTTTCTGCATTAAACAATTTTTTAAATCTTTAGTTTGTTTTGTCTTTTAAACAAATAAAGGAGTTTTAATTATTTTTTCAAAGAAATTTAGAAATGCTTTTTCACAAAGACCTACCTATTGTTACTTAGTTAAAAGGTTATGAAGCATACGTAGTTATTAAATTGAATGAATAATATAATAAAAAAATATTAATTATTAATATTAATTAATAATTGAATAATATACTAAATATTAAATATTATTAAATTATTAACGTTAAATATTTGTTATTAATAATTTCATATTTAAAAAAAATAAAGAAAGCCAAAGAAGTATAACTTCTTACGCGCGTACATAAGTACACGCCCCTTTTTTAAATATTGATACTGTAAGTAGGTAGAACACCGCTTATATCTATACTAATATTATAAAGAGGAAAGGTTTGATTTTTTGTTTGTTTGAAATGAATAGGCTCCGAAACTACTGGACCGATTTCAAAAATTATTTCACCGTTGGCAAGCTACACTATTCCCGAGTGACATAGGCTATGTTTCATTTTCAAACAAAATAGGGATGCTTACTAAAACTTGAATAATCTAACCCAAGCTGTAAAAAAATATACAAAAAACTTCTTTCAATCGTGTGCGCTGCAAAAACTATTAATGATAGAACAAAATGATGTATTACAATTTTTTAGGACACATCACTATCTATGAAAAATTGTCGAGACAGCATGTCTCTATCTTTTATAGTTACGTCACAATTAGCGTCCTTTTATTAATTTTTTTTTATTAAAATACCACCGCTAGAAAAGGCTCTTTATTCGTACCTAGGTATTGATCCTTATCAAAATAATTACCAACGTTTCACATAAGCTACTAATACTACTAAATTGAATGGCATAACCACCAAAAATGCATGGTGGATTGGTGTTCTCCTGCCTTTTCTCTTAAATAGTTTACTACTATGTAATATAACAAAAATCTTAGCCACAGCAAAGCTTGGCCGAGTCAACTAGTAAGTAAATAAAAATATACTTTTTACATAACAGAAATATTGTTTCATAGAAGTTTGCAGAAAATAGTATTATTTGTTTAATTAAATATGCTAAATGTTGGCAACATTACGTCATGCGATTACAGCGCTGCGTCTGGGCCACGGATGCCGCCATTATTTTTTTGGATACTGCCTTGCGATTCTGTAACTCACTTTTCGAACTCACACAGCGGTTTTCGCATCGGCGTTCGCTCTCAAATCAGTCGTGAAGCAGTCATTTTATGATTTGGCATGCTGAAAAGGTGGGAGCTTGTAGTTTATTGTTTATCAGAATGCCCAATCATTAAATGACTGCTTCACGACTGATTTGAGAGCGAACGCCGATGCGAAAACCGCTGTGTGAGTTCGAAAAGTGAGTTACAGAATCGCAAGGCTGTAGTATCCACGTACGTGAGAGTGGTTATGAATAGTATGTATTTGTTTCTCTTCCCTTAATACAAAATGAATACTGATGCATCCCCAACTTGTGAATGGTTGGTTTGTCATTCTAAAAGATACTCAGGAAGACCATACTTCTTTAATACGTTGACAGGAGACGCCGTGTGGAATTTGCCTGAACAAAGTGTAAGTCTTCATTCTATCTCTCGAAGCCATTTCTATCAGGACAACAATCAGTTAGTAGATCTGGAGCTGTCCTTATACGGTTAACAAAATGCCTAGTTTTAACAAATTGTTGTACGAAATGTTTGGATAGTACCTTTTAAAAGTTACATTGTCAATGCACTTCTAAAACCCTCAAATTCCGAAATAAAATTATTTGTTTTTTCTATCTTACTGCTACGAGAGTTGCGGGTACCGCGTCACAGTTAACATTACCTCTGTAAATTTATTTAAATTAAAAATAGAACTAGTGTGTAAAAGAGGTTAAAACACGGGAACTATGACATTTTAAGCAACAGTTTCACGTAATAAATTGTGAACAATCAATACAGTGTATTAAACAGTGATTCGTTAGTCGTGATCGAACAATTTGTTATCCGCCATACCGCGATGGACATTTCTCGTTTGGTTGTGGTTAAACATCAGAAGAATTGTTGCAAAAACTGACATAAAATAGTGAAGTGACTTTTAAAAGTGTCTTGTGCTAATCAAGTACTTTAAAATAAAACCTAAACACTGTTTTGGACAAATCGTAATTGTGTTATATACGATTTATTCGCAAGACAAGTAATGAATTGATTAGCACTTGTAACAAGTTGTTAGGAACATCATACACACTGTCGATTGTGGATCAAATCCTGGCGCGCACATACCTACGAAACGAATACTTTTTTATTTTATTTTTACCTGTAAACAACAATGGAAGACCAATTTCAGATGTTGTTTGAGAAAATGAGAATTGAAATGAAGGAACAGAATACAAGATTGGAAGAATCATTAACAGACAAAATAATAAATAGAATGGATGAGAAGTTAAAACCTATCTTAACAGAAAATGAAAACCTAAAATTAAAAGTTGGCACCTTAGAAAAAGAAATCGAACATTTAAGAAGATCTAATAAGGAAAACAATTTAATCATTTTTGATTTGAAAGAGGAGGAACGTTCTATTACCGAGTTACTGCAGAATTTCCAAAGGCAATGCCTGGCGGATTTAAATATAACACTCAAAAACACAGAGGTAAATAAAATATACCGTATCGGAAAACCCAGAAAACAGGAAGGAAAACCAAGGCCGATTTTAATATCCTTCGTTAATAGTTGGAAGAAGCACGAAATCCTTAAAAATAAGAGAAAATTCAAGAAATTGCATATTTCTGAAGACTTTTCCAAAGAAGTCTTAGAAAAAAGGAAATTATTGAAACCAAAATTGATAGAAGAACTAAAGAAAGGCAAGATTGCATATTTAAAAAATGATCAACTTATAGTCAAGGAAAACTGTTCTAACACTGACAAAAGGAAGAGAGAATTATCAGCTTCTCCACAAACTGAACAAACGGCTCAACCAAAAAAGCAACAGGCACTACTATCCTCTAAAACTAATCGAACAAATGCTTTTGACATGATGAGGGCCAGATCGAGCTCCCTTTCTACTTCCTCTGATAAAAGACCATAGCAACTATATGTTAAGCAGAGAAAGAAACTTAACCAGAAAACAAATAATATAGTAAAAACAATCTCCCCCAATACGGCTGGTCCCCGTGGGGGCAGTAGACCACCACCCTCCACCCAAAAAATAGAAAAACACTCTCGCCATATTCAACGCACACATATTTGTACAATGAATGTAAGGTCACTCGTTGGCAACGGCCGTCAAGAGGAATTGGAACATGCCCTGCAGAACATAAAGTGGGATATTCTTGGCCTCTCTGATATTAGAAAAGAGGGAACACACATTATTGAATACGAAGACTACATCTTTTTATACACCGGAAAGAAAAGTGGAAGAAATGGTGTAGGATTTATGGTTAAAAAGAAGTTGAAATCAAATATTTTAGACTTCGAGGTTCTATCAGACCGAGTAGCAAAACTTGAAATGTCCTTCAATAATTATAAGATTAACATAATTCAAGTCTATGCCCCCACAGCGAAATCAAGCCAAGAAGACATAGATATTTTTTATGATAGCTTAAGTAATGCACTAGTAAACACTCTGCCATATACAATTGTGTTGGGAGATTTTAACGCACAAATAGGACGAGCCACTCCAGATGAAAAGTTGGTTTTGGGTTTATGGGGACACGGTAAGAGAAGCGAGCGAGGCAAACGTCTTATTGACTTTTGTTTAGAAAAACAATTGTTTATTGTGAACTCTCAATTCAAGAAAAACACAAAAAATAAATGGACATGGCTATCACCAGATACTCGAACCGCTAATGAAATAGACTTTTTTATTATTAAAAGACCCTATCATCATACCGTCGAAAATATAGATATAATTAATACCACCCACCCAACAGATCACCGTATGGTTCGTGCAACAGTGACAATTACAGCAAAAGTTAAAAGTAGAAAACAATTTAAAGGCAGACAATCAGGACTGAACCCACTAGAACAAGAAACACTCAAGAATATTTTTTCGGTTCAACACACTAAAAAATCTAAGAATATCCAAGAACGATATAATAATATAATACATCAAATTAAAACCAGTGTCGAAAAGTTACCAACAGTACCAGGGATAAAGAGAAATGACTACATAATAACTGAAAGAATAAAGGATATGATAAATGAAAGAACTGAACTAAAAATAAACCTAATAAGTCAGAAATTGAAAAAAAGCGTCTTAAGCATCTGTATGGAAAAATTAGAAAAAATATAAAAAGAAATAAAGAATATTATCAACTCAAAATATTAGAAGAAGAAATAGATAAAAGGCGATCAGTTAAACGAGGAAACAAACGGATAAATAATACAAAACAATGGGTACAAACACTAAAAACTCACACAAATGCAACAATAACAAACAGAGATAATATATTGAATATAGCGACTAATTTCTACAAAGAACTGTACAGTTTGCAAAATAAACCACTAGATGTTAGTAATAATGACATATTACTATGTTATAAAAATGAAGAGATCCCTTTGCTACTGGAAAGTGAAATCAGGCATGCCATAATGAAACTTAAATCTGCAAAAAGCCCAGGAGATGACAACATAACTAATGATATAATTAAAGCATTAGTAGAACCTCTAACATCACCTCTCACCGAACTGTTCAATGAAATTTTAAAACACGAAAAAATACCTAAGCAGTGGGAAACATCTGTAATAACATTACTATATAAAAAGGGAGACCCAATGAACATCAATAATTATCGACCTATAAGTTTATTACAATCTACTTACAAACTTTTTACAAATATCATCCTTATCAGAATGAAGAAGGAGCTGGAGTTCCAACAACCAAGAGAACAAGCTGGTTTTAGAAGTAAATATTCAACGCTAGATCATATATTCACACTTAGACAAGTCATTGAAAAATACATGGAGTATAAAAAGACAGTGTATATAGCCTATGTGGACTACTCCAAAGCCTTTGACACAATCTTACATAACAAACTCTGGTTAGCTCTACGGGAACAAGGAATACAAAATAAATATGTTAACTTACTAGAAAAGATATACCAAAGAAGTAAAGCCACAGTCAAGTTGGAGAAGAAAGGCAACATGTTTCAACTGAAAAGGGGTGTTCGGCAGGGCGACCCCGTGTCGCCCAATTTATTCACCGCACTTCTGGAATTCATCTTCAGAAAGCTGGATTGGTCACGGTTGGGAGTAAATATCAATGGCGAAAATTTAAGCCATCTGCGGTTCGCAGATGACATTGTTTTAATAACTGAAAAGCATGAAGACTTACAATACATGCTTCAATCCCTAGAAGACACAAGTAGAGAGTGTGGACTGGAAATGAACCCTGAAAAAACATGCATAATGACAAATGGCATAAAATACAGTATAACCGTCAACAGTAGAAATATAGAATATGTTGACCAGTATGTCTACCTTGGTCAAAATATATCATTTAAAAGCCATTATATAGAGGAGGTAGAGAGAAGAATTAAAAAAGCCTGGAGTTCATATTGGTCACACAAGCACATTTTCAAGTCTCAAATGTGTTTACCACTGAAGAAAAAAGTGATGGACTCTGTTGTGACACCTACACTACTGTACGGCTGCCAATCGTGGCCTATCACAGCTGAAATAATAAAGAAAATCCAAACATTTCAACGATCAGCCGAAAGGAGCATGTTAGGCTTGAATCTTAGAGACAGAATTCAATGTACAACAGTACGAAAGAAAACTAAAATAATAGATGCAGCTAAAATGGTGTGCCGCCTGAAATGGCGTTGGGCGGGGCACACAGCAAGAAAGTGCGACAACCGATGGAGCGAGAGAATGCTGCACTGGTACCCGCGCGACGCGCGCCGTCCACAGGGGCGCCCGCGCCGGCGCTGGGCGGATGACATCACCGCCGTCGCCGGGGTCACCTGGCCGCGCCTGGCCCACGACAGACACGAGTGGAAACGGATGGAGGAGGCCTATGTCCAACGGTGGACAAACCAAAACCTCACAAACAAATGATTATTCCTAAATGTTAAAGTGTATTTTACGTAATGTTAAAAGTTAATTTTTCAATTCAAAATCAATGAAAGTTCTAATCTATTATAGTTAAGTTTTGGAAATAAAGGCTATTATTATTATTATTATAATCTGTCTTATTACACACTAATTTAATTTACAGTATATTTAGTAGGACAAGTTTACTAGCTTAAATTAGTGTAATTTAAAATTATCTTGTTTTCAATTAAGTTTCTTTATCAAATTTTTTTTTACAGGTAGCGTTTATCAAAGCAAGAGCAAATCAAAGCAAACCTATAATAAATACAGGATATCCAGAGCCTAATGAAGTCTTTAATGATACTATATCCACTTCCCTTAACAATAATGCAGTTTTTAACCAGCCATCAGAAAAAATGTATAATACATTCTGTAGACAAAGCCGTTCTATTGCTAACATAAATTTTTCATACTGTATTCCCCAGAACACACATAATAGCAATACTTTGGGTGTGCTAAGTGTCTGTCCAAATGCAATAAATTGGAATGAATCTTCTAACAACCCAGAGTGTTACTTAAATGCTAACCATAGCAATTTGCAACCTCATCAGGTTCATGCACATTTACCAACACCTATATCATCTAAAACAAAAAAGAAGAATTCTTTACATTGCAAACTGAAAGTAAAGTTACAGTGCCAAAACAATGTGATATGAATGATCAAATGAATTTTCAAAACAATTACAATAATATTACTTCAGGTCATGTAACTGGTTAGTACACTTACACTTAAATATAATATAAAAAGGTCTTTAAACACCTGCCCACTGAATAAAAATTTATAATCTTTATTTATCATTAGATACCTATATTATACCCATATTTCAATTACTACTGAACTAAGAAGGATTATCTCTTAATGACTTTCTAGGAAAGTTGTAGACAAACATATAAACATAAATGCACTTATGTAATAAAACACACGTTCTTTATTCATTATTAGATACTTATACTATACCCATATTTCAAGTACTTCTCAAGCGAGAAGGATCATTTCTTAATCAAGAAATTTCCTAGAAACTAAGTCATAGTTTCTAGAAAATTTCTGGACAAACATATAAATGTACATGCACTTATGAAATTAAGCTGATGTGCATTGGAAGCATAAATAGATTATCATACTCATATTATCCAATTGCAATATCACATAACTTAAACCTTCTTTTTGAAGTAGGTTAAAAGTAGTATTAATTGGTGAGCATAATGTTTGAAATATAATTTTCAGCATCACTTGAAGGTGATCATGATATGAAAATAAGCAAAGACGTTGTTGAAGATGACTTACATGACATGCTGGTATGAAATACATCTCTTGCCTTTATTTGGTTTCATTGAAGATCTCTGTTGCTTCTACCAGTTTTAGTAGTTAAACAATTTTATTGATATGTACATATTATTATAATTTTTGTTGATTGTGTATTTGTTTAAGTGTTAACTAAATATTATATTTATTGTTGCAATTTTTTGTTAACATTATCTGAAGTTAGGTTAATAAGGTAATAATGTTGCTTGTGCTTAATTAGGGTGGCTTTAATCTTAATGTTTTTCTTATATATTTTAAGAAATTGCATAATATCATCTCCTGTGGGCTTTTGTAACAAAAAGTCAAATTTGGTTTTGGTTAGAATTCAGTAGAGGTTAAATCTGATCAGAAAGTAGTATAAAATTATTCCTTTTAAAATTGATTATTATCATTATTGCAGGATTTTTCAATTTATCTTTGTGTGTGACCTTAACTTGAACATTTTTTTTTTCAGGAAACTAATAATTTTAATATCACAGCTTTGCAAACATTGTTTAAGATTGACGTAAGAACCAAAGTTTGGTTTCTTGTGCTTGATGAGGATGTGTTTTTAAAGAAATTAAACTTTATAAAGGAAATTCGAAATGCAGGTATAAAAATATTAGTCTAAAAACTCTAACAAGTGAATGTTACAATAGATATTGTAGTGGTGTAATTATTGTTTATATAGAAATTTCGCAATTGTATTT